ATTGGATTCTTATTACCCAAGTTACCAAGAACACTGCGAGTGGCATACCGGGAGCTTAGCCAATGAGCAGTCAGAAAAGGTGTTTCCTCTGCAGCTCACGCACAGAGAGGCAGGACGGCCAGCAGGCATGCTGCGACTGGCAGACCCTGCTGTCGGTCTGTGCCCCGTGGCACCTGGTAGTCAGGCCCTGCTGTCTGGCTGTAGGCCGCGGCGCCTGACAGCCAGCTCTGCTCTCAGCACCTGCCTCACCCCGCCCACCGGACCACCAGCCTTGCTGTGACAGGAGCCTGTGGGCTGCGGGGGCAGGACCCAGAGGTGCTCCGTGCACTTCCTAGTGACCAGTCGTCCATCTGGTCGTCCATCTAGTCGTGACGGCCCTAGGCTATTATTAGTAGAGATTCTTTCATCTCTTACATCATCTGGGGGGCTTTCTCTCTGGTCCTCAAAGGTTATGTTTCAGTCTCTCAAGAGATTGTGAGAATCTCACATCTGGATTGTTCTTCTTTTGTGTAAGATTTTTACCTCCTCTTCCTGTGTGCATGTGTGTGGGATCTATGCAGGCGCCCAATGTTTGTTCCTTCTGTTGCTGAACTGTGGACACAACAGCTGCCTCAGGCAGGCATCTGCTGGTGAAGGGTGTGGGAAGGGTTAGGACAGGTGCCGTCTGAGGCTGCAATGCAGGTTTGCTGTCCTGTTATCCCCTGCCATGGACATACATGCAAACAGCCATAAACATGTGAAAATGTGACCTTCTCATTAGCCACCAGGGAAATGCAAGTTAAAATCACAATGAGCCGAAACCGGTTTGGCTCAATGGATAGAGCATCGGCTTGGGGACTGAAGGGTCCCGGGTTCCATTCCGGTCAAGGGCATGTACCTTGGTTGCGGGCACATCCCCAGTAGGGGGTGTGCAAGAGGCAGCTGATAGATGACTCTCTCTCATCGATGTTTCTAACTCTCCATCTCTCTCCCTTCCTCTCTGTAAAAAATCAATAAAATAAAATAAAAAAGTCATAATCTTAAAAAAAAAAATATCACAACGAGACAGCATTAGACACTTACACACCCACCAGAATGGTTAGGTTTTAAAGTGACATTATCAGTGAAGCTACTAGACTGTCATACTACTGGTGAGGAACATGAATTGTTGGGGAATTATTTGATGACTGGTGAAGTTTTGCTCTCACCCACAGATCCTGGGCGGAGCGGGAGGACGCTGGCGATGTTCGGGCGGCAGGTGCACCGGTGGCCGATGGTGTCGCGCACGGCACACAGCCACAGCTGGGACTGCTTCGCATGTGTCTCAGGTCCAGTAAAAATGCAACACCCACGCCCCCAAAAAGGTGTTCGCAAGGTTTAGACTTTGGATTTCCTCAGTTGTGATCAGGGAGAGCTTTCTTAAAAGCAAGGGTGAAGCAAACACTTATTCTCTCAGCCATGAGGGCTCTGGGCTATGACATAAGCCAGGATGTCTATCTCCTTCTGGCCCCAAGGTGTTCTCCTCGGAAGGGGAATGGTTTGCCATTACGTCTGTTCCTCTGCCAGGAACACACCCGCTGCCTCAGACCTTCACCCCACAGGGAGCTACCTGAGGGCCTGGCCACAGAACCAGTGCGATGGGACAAGCCGCTCTGGTAAAAGTCTCTTTCGGTAACACGTGGCAAACATTCAAGTTTTGATCCCTAATGCCTGGGAAAGCATTGGCTCATGGGACTGTGGAGGTGCGCCTCACAGGCGTGCTCTTAGCGTCAAGCCTTACGGGCCACCTGGGCTTGTCAGGACTGCCTCTGGGCTGCTCCTTCCTCTGAATTAGCTTTATCAGCTCTTGCCTTCCGCATGCTTCGGGCAGTTCCATAATTACGTCACCCACCGAGGGAGAGAGCCCTGGGGAAAGCTTGTCTCTTCCGCAGCCAAGTCCCAGGAGGCTGAACACCCACTCCAGCTGCCTGCACGTTCCTGAGCCCATCACTGTGCTGGGAAGACTTGATTCTCCGACTACATGTGGGTCATATGATAACCCTACGGTTGTGAAGGGGGAGGGGTGATGGAGTGGATCACCCACCATAAAGAAGCTCCTTAAGAACATAAAAAAGGGGGGCGGGGAGTAGGAAAAGGCCTGGGGCACACTAATATGACCACAGTCCGAATTTCCTGAAAGAAGCTGCTTGTGAGCATTTAGCCCCTCATCCTATATCCGGCCGAGGTGCTGTCCTTGGCCCACAGCTACTTAGATCAGTGAGTCCTTCAGATTCAAAAAGTCAGGAGAATGTGTCACCTTGGAAATTTGGTAAATAAAAATTCTCTCTTTGGCTACATAAATATATCACATTGTCCTATAAAAGAAAATATGCCCAACAAAATGCCATCAATTGATTTCTACTGTAAAGAAAATGTTCAAGAGTTGGTGAGGAGTCAAACTCTTGGTGATTGTGTCATCAGAATAAAGAAATGCTCACACCTTTTCCTTAGCAGAGAAGTAGCTCTTTGCTGCTCAGAGATTAACTTGCCTTAGATGATACTGATTTCTGTTCTATTTTCACATTGAAATTCTGTTCATTATTTGAATTTTTTTTTTTTTTAATTGTGGCATGCGATGGCTCAGCAGTTGAGTGTTGACCTATAAACCAGGAGTCCCGGTTGGATTCCCGGTCAGGGCACATGCCCGGGTTGCAGGCTCGATCCCTGATCGTGCAGGAGGCAGCCGTCAATGATTCCCTCTCATCGTTGATGTTTCTGTCTCTCTCTCCCTCTCCCTTCCTCTCTGAAATCAATAAAGATTTTTTTTTTAATTGTGGCATGATTCATATCTCAAGTTACCTAATCCCTTGCATAATGTTTATTAGCTGGGGTTAAGGTCCTAGGATCAGATTAGAGAGACAATTGGGACAACTCTGCGGTGAACTTTGAGCTGATTTGACGTGGTCTCTGCAGGTCCAGATGGCCAGCTGTGCCCAGGCCGCCCCACAGTCCGAGTGGAGCTGATTACCGCCTCGGTGTGTGCTGGAGACCACAGCTCTTCCCAGCGATCTGAGAAGATTGCTCACCGCAGTCTCCATGTAACCATGGCAGCCCCCTCCGACTGCCCTTTTTTTTTTTTTTTTTTCTCTCTCTTTTTTTTTCTTTTTCTTTTCCAAAAGAACAGAGTAAAAGTAGAGGTAAAGAGTTTGATGTTCATGCCACCTTCCTTCCTTCATCAAGAATCCCTTTAAGCCTCTAACTTCACAGGCTGCTGAGAAAACCACAACAGTGGAGAGTGCCAACACGCCGAGGCCAGAGTATTTGATCGTATACTGTCCATTCTTTCAATAATTTATTGAGTACCTACTGCTGGCCAGGCTCTGTGATAAACACTGATATTACAGCGAACACGAAAAAGCCCCTGACTTGTAAGACTTTCAATGGGGATGACAGACAGAAACAAACAAACTAAAACATGGAAAGGGACCGAATAGCAGGTACAGGTGGAGTTTAAAGCCGCAACTTTAGCCATGGTGATCGTGAAGGCTTCCTTAAGCAGAGATCGAACTGAGAAAGGTAGCGGGCCCTCAGGCAAAAAAAGCAGCGGAATGCAAAAGCCCTGAGCTCAGGGGATGCAGCAAGGAGCCACTCCAGCCCAGAGAATAACACAAAACGCGCTGGGGCCATGACATCCAGGCTCACAGCATGCGGTGTGCTTTGGGGTTTCCTTCTCTCTGAGACAGGAAGCCATTGGAAAGCTGTGAGCAGGGAAGGAACATGGATAAGGTACCTTCCGGAGGATTACTGAGAGCAAGCTGGTCCAGCTAGGACCCCGCCATGAAGATAATCACTTTGGTTCTCTGGGGCAAAGGGGGCTTAAGAGCAATGCATGGCCCAGGAAGACAGGGGGTATGGGCCAGCAGCTGCCCGATGCCCGCCCCGTGCCATTGGGAGATGCAGTCACCGCCACCTCCACTGCTTGGATGTGCCGGCACTGCCAGTCCAGAGCCACCTGCCTCCCTCTCTAAGGAGGGCCACACTGACTCCAGGAGCACGAGGAGCTCCCCACTTCCCGCCCATTTCCCGCTCGTGTCCCCTTCGCTGGCAGCCGTGGGGCGCGAGAGTCCGGGCAGCGATTAACCCGCTCGGCTGGGCCCTGCGGACGCACAGGAGGGCGGATGCGGAGCTGAGAGGCAGCAGGGCCCGAGTGCAGAGTGGAAAGGGAAACGGGAGGTGCCAGTGCCGGTGGGCCCGGGCGGGGGCGGCTGGTTCCCTCCCTGTGTTTGCGGACAGGCCCGAGCGGAGGGCCACGGCTGGCTCCGGGGCCGGGGCCGGGGTAAAGGGGAAGGCGGGCCGGAGGTGGGGGGGGGGGCGCTGGCCAGTGAGCTGAGGTGCCTGTTGTAGGTTTAGACAGACGGTGCGGGGCAGGGGGCGCCCCGGGTTCGGAGGAGGGTGCGGCTCCAGGGCCCGCAGCCTTCTCTACCGCACCGCAGGGGCGGCGGCGGCGGCGGCACGAGGCCGTGTCTACCGAGGCCGCGGCCTGGGCCCGGGGCCCGCGAGCGCCGAGGCTGCCCCGGGGATTGGGCAACTGAGAAGGGAAGATGGGGAGGGGCGGGGGGTGGCGTGGGCTGGGCGACCTCTCCCTCCGCCCGGCGCGGCCGTCCGCACGCAGCCCGGCGCCGGCTGGGAGGGCGGGATCGGCCCGCGGGCGGTGCACCCACCCCCCCTCCCCCAGCACCGGGGCGGCTCGGGGATCCCCCGCCCCCGTCGGGCCGGGAGGCCGCACCCCGGCCAGCACCGCCCGCGGTCAGCTCCCGGCGTGGGCGGTGGGCGGGGCCTCCGGCGGGGTCACGCGCCCCGGCCGACCAATAGGCGCGCGGCTCGGTGGGCCCGCCCCCGCGGCCGGCAGTGGGGCGGGGCGGGCGCGGAGGCCGGTCGGGCGGTGAGTGAGGTGCGGCCCGGGGTCCGCGGCGGAGGCAGCGAGCTGAGCGGCCGCCTGGTCCGCGCAGCGCCCGACCTCCCTCTCCTCAGAGCAGGCGGCCATGGAGCGCCTGGTGCAGCGGGTGCGGGACGCTTTCCGCAGCGGCCGCTCGCGCCCCCTGAGCTTCCGGCGGCAGCAGCTCGAGGCGCTGCGCAGGCTGGTGCAGGAGCGCGAGCGCGACATCCTGGCGGCCATCGCCGCCGACCTGAGCAAGGTGCGCCGCCGGGAGGCTGCGGGGACGGGGATGGGGAGGCTGCGGGGACGGAGACGGGAGGCTGCGGGGACGGGGACGAGGAGGCTGCGGGGACGGGGACGGGAGGCTGCGGGGACGGGGACGGGAGGCTGCGGGGATGGGGATGGGGACGGGGACGGGGATGGGGAGGCTGCGGGGACGGGACGGGGATGGAGAGGCTGCGGGGACGGGACGGGGATGGAGAGGCTGAGGGGACGGGACGGGGATGGGGAGGCTGCGGGGACGGGGACGGGGAGGCTGCGGGGATGGGGACGGGGACGGGGAGGCTGCGGGGATGGGGACGGGGACGGGGACGGGGAGGCTGCGGGGACGGGGACGGGGAGGCTGCGGGGATGGGGACGGGGACGGAGCAGAGGTGGCCCCACCCGCCGCCCCGCGCCCGGAGCCAGCCCCGCGGAGGTGCTTGCAGACCGAAGTGCGTGGTTTTCTGGCTTCTGTCAGGGAACTAACTGCCTTTTATAGTTCCGCCTGTTTTTCTGTTGCATTTAATGGTCCTTCTCCCGTAGGATTTTTTTTTATTTTTTATTTTGGGTTTCGGTAATTTGTCGGCGTCATTTAGTGCAGATGTTTTCTCAGAGCCTGCTTCTTGTCTGTTAACTTTGTTTCCTGGTTCTTGTGAAGAAGGGTCTATGGGTCGCCCTGACTTCCTGTGGTCAGTGCTCCCTAAAGGGCGCCGGGACCCCGGGGACCCGTTAGGACGCGGCCTGAGGCTCAGAGGTCGGAGGGGTGAGAGGCTGAGTTTCTGATCAGTCTCCAGGTGATGCCATGAGCCTGTTTTGGAACCAAGCTTTGAGTAGCTAGTGGCCAGGGCATAAATACATTCCCCTGTGTTTTCTAATAATATTGTCATTTTGGTTTACTTTTTAAAAAAACATATTTTATTGATTTTTTACAGAGAGGAAGAGAGAGAAGAATAGGGAGTTAGAAACATCGATGAGAGAGAAACATTGATCAGCTGCCTCTTGCACACCCTCCACTGGGGATGTGCCCGCAACCAAGGTACATGCCCTTGACTGGAATCCAACCTGGGACCTTTCAGTCCACAGGCGGATGCTCTATCCACTGAGCCAAACCGGTTTTGGCTCCTTTTTTTTTTTTTTTTTTTAATCGTGGATACTATTACATATATCTCCACCCCCTCATCCCCTTTATGTTTTTACTTTTTATGTTTATGCCACAGCGAACAAGATTTTGCTCTGGCTTTGGGAGTCTCCCTCTCCCTCGCTTCTCCCAAAAGACTATCTTGAAGGGTAGTACTCTTCAAGATGGAAGGGTAGTTTCCCCGAAAATAAGACAGTGTCTTATATTAATTTTTTCTCCCAAAGTTGCTCTAGGTCTTATTTTCAGGAGATGTCTTATCTTTCCATGCGCTAGGTCTTATTTCAGAGGATGTCTTATTTTCAGGGAAACACGGTAGTATCTTAGTATTAGTAACAACAGGAACTATAAAATTCCCTTTAGTGTGCTTTAGGTGGAGAGGGGCTGTGGTTTCAAATAAACAAGATAGAATAATTAAGATTTTTAAAAGTCTGAATCATTTATCCTACAAGCATGAAATGTTGGTGTGAATCTATCTATTCTCTTATACAATAAAACCCTAATATGCAAATCGACTGAAGGGCAGAAAGACTGGCCTCTATGACATGCACTGACCACCAGGGGGCAGACGCTCAATGCAGGAGCTGCCCCTTGGTGGTCAGTGGTCTGGCTCACAGCAGGCAAGTGCAGCGTGGCAGCACTAAGGAGTAACAAGCTGAGCAGTAAGGAGCATTGAGCAGGCTGGTGGTTAGGAGCGAGGGGTCCCAGGCCACGCTGAGGGACCCTCCCCACCATGGGCCTCTAGTATGTATTTGTGTGTGTGTATAAAAGCCAAGCAACTGGAATGACAGAACAACCAGTCGCTATGACACGCACCACGCAGCCAACCGGCCTGATCAGGGCCCTGATTGCTCCCCTCCCCCAAACCTCCCACAGTCCCTCTCCCGGCCCACCCGGCATCTGACTGACCCTCTACCCCAATCAGGGCAGGGCTGTATGGCTAACATCTTGCATCCCCTCCCCCTGGCCGGCCTGGCCCAGCCCTGATAGGGACAGGCTGGCTAGACCTCACCTGAGCATAAATTCGGGTATTGCGCCTCTTGTTTGTGTGTGTGTGTGTGTGTGTGTGTGTGTGTGTATGTATGATTACTAAAGAAATACAGTAACTTCCTTGTCCTTGAGTGTTTTAAATTTGGTTGGGAGACAAAACATATACAGATAAAATGAGAATAGTTATAAAGGGCTGTATTGGGGTGAAACATTAAGATGCAGGTCAAAAGCATAGTTGCTATGCTTTATAAAGTGTGATCAAGGCGAGCCGTTACTAATCAGAGAGGTGATGCTGACGGGAGTGCGTAAGCCTGGTTTTAAACGCCTTGGATGAGCAGAGGTTTTAGAGGGATTGAGTCTATTAGAGAGGGAGTTAGCAAGTCTGACAGCTCGGAGGAGCAAAAGGAAGCTGAATGGCAAGCCTGCTGGTCTGATAAGGCGTTTTCGCTGCCGTGTACCTGGCCTGGAGCTTTAGACACTCGGGTTGAATGTGTCGTACTTATGCAAGGTTTCCTGTGACTCTTCTCACAGAGTGAGCTGAACGCCTACAGCCATGAAGTCATTACCATTCTTGGGGAAGTTGACCTCGTGCTGGAGCAGCTTCCTGAGTGGGTTACTGCCAAGCCAGCCAAGAAGAACCTGCTCACCATGATGGACGAGGTCTACGTCCAGCCAGAGCCCCTGGGGGTCGTCCTGATTATAGGGGCTTGGAACTACCCCTTCGTTCTCATCATGCAGCCGCTGATCGGAGCCATTGCTGCAGGTCTGGTGTCCGCGTATGTCTCCGTACCTTCTCAGAGGGCCCTGTTCGCATTGGGGATAAGTTAAGGATGGTGGCTGAGTGCATTTGCTTTGATGGCGTGCCTGGTTTACACAGCAGCGCGTGGAGAGCGTAAGGATATGAAGGCGTGAGCGGACAGGCTCGGGAATTGGAGTCAGGCATCCATATTCTCAAGTGGCTTCAGGTGCCAGCTGTGGCGTGGCTGAGCCAAAAGATTCTGTCCGACCATTTCTCCACCCAGATAAGGGCTGTGGGAGCAAGGCTGGCCTGGGTTTATGCCAAGAGATTAAGGTCTCATTTCTGCAGGACCCAGAATGGCAGCTTTGTGTTGACAAGGCGTTTGCCCAAAGATTCCAGGGCAGAGAGGAAAGTCCAGGTGTGGGAGTGGGAGAAAGGTGATGGAAATAGAAAGGAATGGGGGTGGTTAGTTATCTGACGATGATGAGAACTAAGAAGTTAGCATCTGGAAAAGAGAAACTGAGATAAGCTCTTAGAACAGAACTAAGAACAACAGAAATAACTGGCATACTTAGCCTGAACTCCCTGCATGCTCACCATGTTAGTAGCTATTAAACATCTAATCAGGTATTAGATGATACTGTTCTGCTTTTTGCTTTGTTTAGGAAATGCTGTGATTATCAAGCCTTCTGAACTAAGTGAAAATACAGCCAAGATCTTGGCTAAGCTGCTCCCGCAGTATTTGGACCAGGTAAGAATGCCTTCACCATCTGCAGAACACCTGCTGGTTGTGGGAAGCGCCCATTTGACGTCTCTTCCAGCGCCTGTCATTGGCGCAGGAGTCAGTTTGCAGTGTCCTAAGCCTCCAGCAGCTGCTTGACTAAAGAGGTAGCTCCGAAAGAACTTAGGAGGGCTCAGCTGCTGTGCTCCTGCCATTCATGGAGCCAGTGGCTGCATGGCCCTGCTATCACAGACCCTCTTCTGCCCTTCGGCATTGGGTTAACTTTGTTTTTAGGTTAATCCTAACGTGATTTTAGGTGTATTCTTTTGGTGAATTACTTAATGAGGGACTAGCTCGGTGCTGGGTTCTGGTCATCTCTTGTCTTCATGGAATATGACTTCACTTTAAAAATATTTTAGTGTTTATCATATGATCTTTTTTTAGATATATTTTATTGATTTCTTACAGAGAGGAAGAGAGAGGGATAGAGAGCTAGAAATGTCGATGAGAGAGAAACATCGACCAGCTGCTTCTTGCACACCCCCTACCGGGGATGTGCCCGCAACCATTGTACATGCCCTTGACCGGAATCGAACCTGGGACCTTTCAGTCCGCAGACCAACGCTCTATCACTGAGCCAAACCGGCTTTGGCATGGACGCTTCGCTTTAAATGGGCCTGTCTGTGGCATGAAGCTGCAGGGAGAAAATGGCCGCCCAGTTGTCCCTCGGGTTAAAGTGCTGGTCTGTAAGGGTGTCGGCGTTGAGTAAACACTCCAACCACAGGGCTCCGCCTCTGTTCCTCCTGCCACCACCACGGAGCTGGGATGGTTTAGTTCGGCCTGGAATTGCTGCAGGAAGGAGTCCTCACTTCACTGTCATTGGAAGGCAGCTTTAAAATATCGCACTTGTAGTTGAACACGTTAACTTACAGTAATCTAACTCCGGCCCCTGGAATAATACTGTCCTTTGTTGTCTAAACCACAGAACAGGTTGTTCTGATGGCTGTGGCTGTCTGGCTCAGAAAGATGATGAAAACAGAGAGATGTCGTGGTTCGAGCAGGATTAGAAACCAGGCGTAAATTCTTCACTATCTGAGCGTCCCGATGGGCATAGTGATGCCCACCCTGCCTCCCCGAGCTGTGGGGGAATCAGTCACACACGCTCTGTAGATTGAGCCATACGCAGGTTAACACTTGAAACAGTGGGGCTGTTAAACTCAGAAGTGAATGAGGACTATTTAGCCCTAATTAGTGGATACAGGAGGCCCACAAACCAACTTTTACGTCATGCCAGCACCTCAGAATGTTCTAGCACATCTCCCTGTTTTCCTCGTTGTCTGTCCTCTGTTGCTGCTCTTCGTGTCGTTTTTCAAAAGGTTCCTTCCGGTAATGCTCAGCCCAAAGCCCTAGGAGCTCCCAGTAACAGACAAGGTACCTGCCCAAGACACTAGCTAGTAAGTCACAGAGCGAAGAGCTAGTCAGGTCTGACTTTAAATCCATGTTCCCGCCAGCAGGAACCTGGTTCCTGCCGTGGGCTAAGCCCTGCGCTGTGTTGAGAGAGAGAATGTCCAGGTTCAGACGTGAGGTGGGGGCCTGTCTGCGGTCACTCATAGCAGCCGTTTCTTTCTCGCCTAAATTCTCAGCTTGCACAGTCCCCTGGCCCAGTGCACCCATTTGCTCTCTTCTCTTTTGTGTTTCATTGCTGAGCTCATGTAGAAAACCCTGCACTCTCCACTCTCCAGTCGTCCCTGTGGGATGATGGCTCTCAGATGCCACTGGCCTCTGTCCACCCTTGTCCTCCATCTGCTCCCTCTTGTATCCTCACAGGGCTGGTCTCCATCTTTTCTTGGTTTTACTGAATATTACATGTCCCTGTTGAAGAAACTGCTCTTTAGACAATTGACTAATTTGGCAGTGCAAATGTTTATCTTTTTTTTTTTTAAGATTAAAAAAAAATTGAATTTGGAGAGAGAGAGAAACGTCGATCGGCTGCTGCCTTCATGCCCCCCAGCCCTGTGGGGCAGGGGGAGGGGAGGTGGTTCGAGGCCTGACTGGGAATTGAACTGGCAACTTTGAGGTGGGTAGGACAATGCACAACCGGCTGAGCCACACCAGCCATGGCTGTCTTTCCTTCTTTGAGGACCTGTACACTGTGGTTAATGGCGGCGTTGAGGAAACCACCGAGCTCCTGAAGCAGCGGTTTGACCACATTCTCTACACCGGGAGCACTGCGGTGGGGAAGGTTGTCATGGCGGCTGCTGCCAAGCATCTGACCCCAGTGACCCTGGAACTGGGCGGGAAGAGTCCGTGCTACATCGACAGAGACTGTGACCTGGACGTCGCCTGCAGGTGAGGCGGGCCCTGACCCTGGGGCTTTCCCAGCGCAATGGGGACTGGGGTTGATGTATCCTCTTTGTACTGGACCCTACGCCTCCGGACCCCGAGAGACAGGAAGCTTTGGCGTCCTCACGGGTAACTGAATTCCTGCACAAACCGTCTCCTCCGCTCTGCCAGCAGCAGTGAGCAGTAGGCCCTCACTCCTGGGTCATGGGAGAGGGTCTTCTGTGCTTGAGATGACAGATCGACAAGAAATTTTACTTTTCTGCTGGTAGGTAATCCAAAGTATGGTGTATGCCTAATCAGATCTTTACATTCCCAACAGAAAGGGTATTCCGTCCATTTCTTAACTGAGCGCCTTTGTTGATAAAACCAGTATTACTTATCTTTTACCTTAGATTAGCATCTTGCTCTGGGAACCAGAAGACAAAAGGTGTCAGGTTCTCTCTGCTAAATCGGATTTCGCTAGCAGGAAGGACCCAAACCAGAGGGCTGTGTGCTGGGGGGTGGGGTGGGGGGGTGGCTTCTCTCTACTTCGGAGACACGGAGCAAGGAGGCGGTATAGAGGGGGAGCTGGGGTCCAGGTTGTCTTCCTAAGTAGAAGTCTGCCTGCCAGAATATGGGACTCTCAGCTGGTGAGAGTCCCAGACTTTGACCCATCCACGGGCACAGCTCTCCAGGGGGAGCGGCTGCTGTTCTGCTTGCCCGAGCGAGCATCCTGCCAGCAGGACTAAAGCTGCAGCCAGGAGGCGGAGCCTGAGTGGAACTCCTGCCATCCCTCATGTCCCTTTGTGGGGCATGGGGGCGGCAGAGGGTGTTGAGAAGCTATTCTCTCTTTCCTGTAGCGGGCAGAGCTCTCTGCGGGCAAAAGGCTGTTTCCCGTGAGTTGGCATGAGAATTTGCCCGCTCCTTAGAGTCCTTCACATGAGCTGGAAAATGCACTCCAAGTTCCAGCCAGCTGATTTAGAGACGAGTTCTTAAAATATTTTTATAAAGATTGCTAAGTGCCATGGCTGGTGGGCTCAGTGGTTAGAGCGTCAGCCTACACATGGAAGGGTCACAGGTTTGATTCCCAGTCAAGGGCAGGTACTGGGTTGCAGGTTCAATCCCTGGCTCTGGTTGGGGTGCATGCATGGAGGCAACCAATCGATGTGTCCCTCACATCGATGTTTCTTTCTTTTTCTCTCCCTCTCCTCTTCTCTCCCCTCTTCTCCTCTCTTCTCCCACTCTCCTTCTTTTCCATGTTCTCTAAAAATCAATGGGAAAATATCCTCTGGTGAGGATTAACAACAACAACAAAAGATTACTAAGTAAGTGTTTGAACACATGTTAGCTGAAAACATTCAAACAACGCAAAAGTGTGTGACAGAAGAAGAGTAGATTAATCCTGTGGCTCTCTGGCTCTTCCCCTGCAGACGCATAGCCTGGGGCAAGTACATGAACTGCGGCCAAACCTGCATTGCTCCCGACTACATTCTCTGCGAACCATCTCTCCAGAGTCAAATCGTGCAGAAGATTAAGGAAACTGTGAAGGTTAGTGGTGAACGTGTCTGATGCCGTTGGTTTCATGAAGATGAGTCAGATCAGCTGTTTGCAGGCAGCATCCTTACACCCTCGCTTGCCCTGGAAATCCCCATAGTCTGTGTGACTGCGTTAACCCCCTGGCTAATTGTAAATGCTTCGCACCCGTTCCGTGGAGTGTCTGCTGGGACTAAGGTCAGGCTGGTGGGAAGTACACTTGTCTAGTTGACTTGCTGATGGATAAACGGGTTAGTTGTGGTACATGCTTTAGAACAGCAATTTCAGCCTTTTTCATCTCATGGCGCACAAACTACTGAAATTCTGCAGCACACCAAAAAATTGTTTCCTAATTTGACAAAAAAAAAAAAAATAATAAAATAAGTACAGTTTTGATCCCTTCATACTGGTCTGGACGGCTGTTGTTGTGTTCGATGTTGTTGTTTTTAATCGGAAAAGCTAAAGGGAAAGAGGCCAGTGCTCCTGAGTATTGCATGTTTTAAAGAGGCTTGCTGCACACCGGGTAATGTCTGTGTGTGGTTTTGAGAGAATGTTGCCCATCCTTTGAGTGTAATCAGGTGGCTTAGTGGTCATGCCAATTAAGGTTGTCGGTGCTTGTGTATGTAGAGTGTTTGGAAGAGTGAGTTAATCAACCACCCATGTATAGTCTGTTCTTGACGTAGGTATTGGTCTTCCCGGTGTGTAAAGTAAAGGTCTCTAGGGAGGAAATCAGGAAGGCTGTAAGGGAGTGTCCGCGTGCCCTGCAGAAACATGCAGTTTGGGTTGAAGAAAGGAAGGGATGAACCAGTGTGACTAGTTCCCCGGTGGGAGGAATTGCTGGAACGATCATTGTTCACTTGACAGGCACTAACTGGGCACTGAACAGAAGGATCCAGAACACCAGAGAGCAAGCGCCGTTTGTGACCAGAGCACAGAAACCACACCAGGAATTTAGGGGAGAGGCACTGCTCCGGGTCTGTCCAAGGGTCTTAGACAGAGTGATGGGAGGGAAGATGGAGCCAGACCAGGAGAAAATGAAAGGAGAATTGGCCAGACTAGGGGGGTGTGAGGTGGCAGAGAGGGGATTAAAAACCCCTGTGTGGCGAGGACTGAGAATCGGAGGAGCCGTGCTTTGTGGAGAACGGTGACGGACCTGGCTCCAAAGGAGTAAGGCCCTGTGGCCTTTGAGGCATTTATTCTCTGAGCACAGAGGTTCTCAACCAAGGTCACCAGGGAGCCGTGTAAGAACAGTTCCCGGTCCTCACCTTCCACTGTGATTCCGCTGGCCCGGGGTCTCCAGGTGCCACCAGCATGGCAAATCATAGTTGGTGGCACTGGGAGGGTGGGGGGGCGCCAGGAACATGCATGTCCACAAGCTGCTGGGATGATGCTTGTTTGTTTGGGGGTGGGGCGGGGGTTTGTCTGGTTTGAGAGGATGTTTCTTAAAGCTGAGGCAGGGAAACAAGGACGTAGGAGAGACGACGTGGCAGGAGCACCTGGGCCGGGCTGCTCTAACTCTCTGGGGAGTCAGGGAAAAGGGGCCTTGGAGACAGGTTCAGGGGTCAGCCCAGGACAGGCTGCCGCTGCCCTTTGCTCCCCTGGTTGCAAGTCTCCTGGGTCCCTTGGCGTTTAGGCGGGGCCCGCCTGAGAGGGAAGGCAGGCGTGTCTGCTCCTGCTTGGAGGTTCTTACCCAGACCTGACCTGTGCGGAGGCGGCCGGGCAGTGTGCATTTTGATTGGAGAGGAAGGTGAGAGCTTTCATAAGGCTTTGAAGTGATGCAACAACTCAGTAATTTCCTGTCTGTTTTACATAATAATATTGATTTATGGCCTTTGAGGGTTTAATTGACCAGGCTGTATTTGGATCTTCTGAGTGGCTGCCCTGTTGTCTGTGACGGATGGAAATGCCCGTCTAGAGAAGATGGGAAACCATGGAAAAGCGCAGAGCTCAGCGACCTGTGTGAGAAGGGCGAGGTGGCAAACACTCTAGGCTTTGCAGTCTTGGGCTCTCTGCTGCAGCCACCCAGCTCCGTGCAGGGAGCAGCCACAGCCACAGGGAAGCAGGGTCCTCAGATGGAACAAGGCCTTTTACCTGCTCTCGCTGCCCCTCTGGCCCGGAGACTGGAGAAGACACGCGTGTGCGGCTGCTTGAACTGCTGTCCTTGACAAGCCAAGCAGCCTGGCTGTACCACCATTGCAGGTCTCCGTGACCACCAGTGGGTGACCTGCAAGCCGTTATAAGTTGGAAATATAAGTGGAAACGGATCTGGCACCTAACCTGCTGGACATCCTCGCTCAGTGCCGCGGAGCTCACAGTGCTCGGCCACTCACATCGGCCTGCTTTTGGGCAGTCACCGCACTGCCGCTGCCCACACCTCACCGGCCCGGAGAAGAGCAAAGCCCGAAATACACTTTCCACTCAAGTTGTACCACTTTGTACCGTCACAAAAGTCAAAAAATCTGAAGCTGACACCTCAAAGTTGGGAACAGTCGGTGCTATTAAAGCACTTGGTGGGGTGGAATGTGATGATTTTTGATCACGAGTAGATTTTGTACTTGTGAAGAAATTGAAATATGGGTCCTTTGTGACAGTGAAACACTATTGTTTTAAATAGGAATTTTATGGAGAAAATATAAAGGAGTCTCCTGATTATGAAAGGATCATCAATCTTCGTCACTTTAAGAGGCTCCTGAGTTTGCTTGAAGGACAGAAGATCGCTTTTGGTGGGGAGTCTGACGAGGCCACCCGCTACATAGGTAAGGGAAGCCCTTCCTCGTGGGAGAGGCACTGACAGTGTTTATTGACAAAAACAAACATCTTTAGTGCAAAATAAACTTAAATGCGCTTCGGGTAAACTGTAAAGATGATCGCACACGTACGTGTTGAATTAAACCCCTTGTGTGGCACTAGCTTTTCTGTGTTTACAAATAGTTTTCTTCCTACCCACCCTGAGACACAGAACTCTGGAATTACTTCCAGGTTACGCCTGGCAAAACGGCTCAAAGAAATAGCCCAATCACTGTTCCACAACTAGCCACTGGCAACGATTTCACAGAAATTATTGTTTGATCTGTCATGCTTGACATTATTTGTTTACTTTCGGTGGCTTTTAAAATTCTTAAAATGAGTTTTGAATTTTAAGCACTTTTCCCAAAGTAACATATAACAGGAGAATGGCACATTTAGTTGGCAAAAGGCTGCCCCAACCAGCTTTACTTGTCTTAATAGATAGGATGCTGAACATTACAAAACCCACTTAAAACTTACGGGGCTCAAACCATAGGAACACTGTGTTCTCAGGTGAGTGGCAGCCTGTGAGCCCAGGAGCTGGCCGTACCTCAGGAAGCGCAGCTGTTGGTCTTTCTACCCCATCCTCAGCGGCCGGGAAGGGCATTCATGATGAGCTCAGACTCGTCAGGAGCTTTCCTCTGACCTGGAGTCAGGGTCACCTTATCTGAGCTCATGGCTGTGCCAGGAGGGTGGACACCCAAACCGAGTCCGTTCTCCGCCCCGGGGAGGCGTGGATGGGGATGTATGAGTGCCGGCAGGACTATCCATGTGCTGCCAGGACCGGTCGGAGGCAGGGAGTGAAGGAGGAACAGTCGCTGCTGGTGGGCACTTCCTTCAGTTGACCGCCCAGCGTGTGACAGGTCCTGGGCGTGCTGCCCGGGATGGCAGGCGCGGGGTGAGGCTGGATGCTCGCCAAGCTCCTTCCGCGTCCCCAGGGCCTCCCTGCGCCCCTGCCCGCAGTGGATGGAGCCCTGACTGAGGGGGAGGGAGTCTTGGCCACTTAAGTATGTTTTCTTAGTGTGTGACGGAGTGGAATGCCGCTCAGAACTCTGGAATTACTTCAGGTTACGCCTGGCAAAACGGCTCAAAGAAATAGCCTAGTCCTGCGGACTCTGCAGGAAAGCACTGGTTAAAGATGCCGATGTGACCCAGAGCACTGTCTGTGCTCCCAGAAAGGTGCACGCCTCCTGTCAGGCGTGTGCTGTGGCCGGGTGGCACATGCGTAAGCTGCATCCAGGCACAGCTCCTCCTCTTGGTTTGCATGATGACCCCGAGCCCCGTGCTTGCAGACACTCAGCACTGGCTCCTCCGTACTCGGGCTTTTCCACGCGGTCCCTGGGGGAGGGAAGGGGGGATGGAGAGGTGGCCTGCTGAAAGGTCAGTGGGGTTTGCGTCTGTCTCCTGTAGCTTTTTCATCTGCTTGCTTTGTTTTCAGCCCCAACAGTACTTACTGACGTTGACCCTGAAACCAAGGTGATGCAAGAAGAAATTTTTGGACCAATTCTTCCAATAGTGCCTGTGAAGAATGCAGATGAAGCCATAGAATTCATAAATGACCGCGAGAAGCCATTGGCTCTCTACGTGTTTTCTCGTAACAACAAGGTAAACGTTACAGAGCAGCACACCCTCACGGCCACCGCTGTCAGCGTGTCCCTCTGGCAGCAGAGCCGGTGGCTTATTGTGTGACACCGGGACCCCCCACCTCTTCTCGGGAGGCTGGGCTGTGAGCGGGCGTACCCCTTGGGGATAGGTCTCCAGGGGTGATGTCTGACACCTCCCCTGTAATTGGGAGTCTCGTGGACCAGCATTAGAAGCTTTTCTTTTCTGACATTAATCCACTGGCGTTTCGGTGAGAGCCCAGCCCCCCTTACCACGCAGCGTGCCACCCCCGGGCTGTGGGGCAAGGGGCGCTGCGGGGAGGGGGTGCGATGCCTGTGGTTCTCTGTGCTGAGCTCAGAGATCTTAGGACAGCCATTTCTTCAGAAACTGGATACTAAGTCTTACATATTTGTTGCATTCCATAAAAGCTAAATGGCACCTAGAAGTCATATTCTGTACCTGAAAGCAGAGGTAGAGTATTGACAGTTTTATACTGAGCTCTCCCTTCCTTTTAAAAGGCTTTGCTGCCATGTGGGGAGTCCAGCTCTAAGAGGGTGATCGGGACTGCCTCCTGGGAGGGGCCTGTGAGTTCAGTAGGGATGGCGTTGGCTGTCTGCCCTGTGCGGGCGCCTCTCCTCGGTCGGGCTCCTGGTTAGAAGAGCAGGGACTCCCCAAGTTCTTCCGGAGGTGAAGCATGGCACCCCCACGCCCGCGGGCTGCCTGAAGCGCTGACCAGCCTCGCTCTGTCCCTCAGCTCGTCCGGCGGATGATTGACAGCACTTCCAGCGGGGGCGTCACGGCCAACGACGTGATCATGCACTTCACGCTCAGCTCGCTGCCCTTCGGGGGCGTGGGTGAGTGTCCCCACCACTGCTCCCCACTCCCCCTCTCCGCAGGGGGTCCTCTCAGTGCCTCCCGCTGCCCTGCACGCCCTGTGCTGGGGTTCATCTCTGCCCTGCCACCCCCACTTTTCACCCTGAGCAGCACCTGCCACCGGCTCTGATCACTTCGTTCCTTTCGTTGCCTACGATGATTGTCCTCCTCCCAGATTGAGGGGGTTTTGGGCGCCAGCACTCAGTTTCCCCATCGTGGTTGGGGAGGTAGTGAGTGGCAGGGGAGACTGCCAGGAGTGCAGTGCTAGGCTGCTCGCCCTGAGCTGTCCCGCGGGCACTCACCTCAGTGGCCCTTTGGGCTGGGACCCACATGCCTCTCTCACACCTGGGAGGACTGACTCAACTCTGTTTTTCCTTTGGGATCTGGGTGGTGGCTACCCTGTTACCTCTCAGAGATATACGAACTGACACGTGTGCAAACACTCCCAGCAAAAAGAACACAGCATCCATTGAACACATGGTGGCTCAATGGATAGAGGGTCGGCTTGGGGACTGAAGGGTTCTGGGTTCGATTCCGGTCAAGGGCATGTACCTTGGTTGCGGGCATATCCCCAGTAGGGGTGTGCAAGAGGCAGCTGATAGATGACTCTCTCTCATCGATGTTTCTAACTCTCCATCTCTCTCCCTTCCTCTCTGTACAAAATCAATAAAATATATATTTAAAAAAAAAAAAAAAAAAAAAAAAAGCACACAGCAAAGCCCCGTCTGCCACAGCGCCTGCTTCTCTGCCTCTGCCGTGGCAGCACCTGGCCCTCATTGCCCATTCACACCCACCTGGCTTAGGCGGGCCTGTCCCAAGGAGCCCGCTGCCTCCCACGATGCCAGGCCTCGCAGGACGTGACACACTGCCGTGAGGGGCGGGCGGGGCTGCAGGATCCAGACTGGCTGGTGGTGGTCTGGGCGAGGACGGTGGGGGAGACCTAGTGGGAAGGGAGGAACATGATTTGCTGATGGGCTGGGTGTGATTGGGTGTGGAGAGAGTGGTGAAGGAGGGAAGGATGGTTAGTTAGTCATGTGGTCTCGCTGCCCACATCCTTCAAGGATTCGAGTAGACTCCGCTGTGTCTGGTTGCTCAGTGCCCACGGGATCCCGGCTCCCACTGGCAGGGGCAGCCCAAGACGAGGCTCAGGGCCGCTGAATGCTGATCCAGGGACGGGCTCAGGCCTGTCTGAGTGGGTCCACTTGGCACCACGACCCTCTTCTTTACAGAAAACAAACTTTCCCCCAAATTCGAGAGGCATTCAGACTTAGCAAGGAAACCTGGGAAGATGGAAGAGCCCCAAGAACACTCCGATTACCCGTAGCCCACTGTTTAAAGACGACCTCTTCCAAGTTCTTTTCAAAATGCCCGTCTTTGGATCCATATTGCAGATTTCCCTGCAGCTCAGCTGCCATCCACGTGCGGGCCATGAACTGCCTCCCGCCCCGGGTGCCGGACGTGTGTCTGTCCAGCACACACAGTAGATCGGGAAGTGAACGCTGGCCAGAGCGTGGCTTTTGAGAGGCTGACTTCCCTTGCCTGTCGCCGGTCCTCGTGCTCTCGGCTGCTTTCTGGGAGCTGGAGGAGCCGGTGGGTGCGGGGGGCTTTGGCATGGAGCCTCGTGGCGGTCTGGGCTCCATCCAGGCCTTGTGCTTCCCCGTGGGCAGTCCTGCCCCTGCCGGCTCCCTTCCCCTGGGACGTGGGGGTGGTGAGGGAGTGAGGGGCCGCCCGGCACTGTCCCTGGCCTCAGAGATCCTGCGGGGAACATCCTGTTTCAGGGAGACACCTGGGGGGCGCCGGGAAGAGTGAGAAGAGCCGGGCCGGCCGAGCTGGAGCGGGTTCGAGGCAGCAGCCTGCAGCTGCCCTGGTGTCTGTTCCTGTGTTTCAGGTTCCAGTGGGATGGGAGCTTACCACGGAAAACACACTTTCGACACTTTTTCTCATCAACGTCCCTGCTTATTGAAAAGTTTAAAGGGAGAAAGTGCTAACAAGCTCAGATATCCCCCCAACACCCAGTCCAAGGTGGATTGGGCAAAATTCTTCCTTCTGAAAAAGTTCAGCAAAGGCAAACTCGGTCTCCTGCTCCTCGCCATCCTGGGCGTGGTGGCCGCCGTGCTGTTCAAAGTAAGTCCTCTGCTCGTGTGGTGTCGGGTCCTGCCTGGGGGCCGGCAGTCAGGGCTCGGTCCTCCATCTGGCTCAGATGCAGGCGGTGGGCAGGCACGGCCGCTGGCCAGCCTCCTGTTTCGCAGAAAGGTGGGGGCACAGGCACTCCCTCGTGGCGTGGCCTCTTGCTGCCGTGGCCTCTCGCTGCCGATGTGCTGAGATTCGTGGCCACAGAACCCATGTCCGAGGCACAGTCGCTGACCTCTGGTCTCAGACTTCAGCCACGAGAACCGCCGGCCGGCTCTGCGCTTCCTAACCCTCTGCCTTTGCTCCTGGTGCCTCCGTTTTGGTTTCTTTCGTGAAGTGCCCTAGAGGGAGGAGGAGGCCTGGTGGCCATGGTGGTGGTGAGCGGCGTGGGTGAGGGAGGGCTGAGTGCTTGCCCTCCGGGGCTGCCTCCATAGAACGGCTCTGGTGACGGGCGGCAGAGCGACGGGCTGGCTAAGGCAGCGTGTCCTCGAGGTGAGGGAGGTGGAAGGGGAGGTGGTGATTCCGGGGTGTCCCTCGCCCCCGAGGCTGCACTGAAGGGGCACCACCTGTGCAGAGCAGGCTGGGGAGAGGCGGGAGCATGCAGTGGGACAGCACGTGTGCCCCTGTGTCCTGCCCACCTGACCTCGCTGGCTCCTCTCGCAGCTGCATGGCTTTGGTGGGGTCGCAGACCGGCTGCATTGAGTCCTTTGGGTTTTCTCAGAAACACCGGGCTGTGCTGAGGAGGGAGGCCCTGCTGGGCTTCCTGGCCGCCCCGGAAGCCGTGTGAGCGACGTGTCAGAACCAGCTGTCTGTGCAGTGAGGTAGGGACTCCTCCTTCTCTACGCAGCGGGCTGGGGCTGTGGAAGAGACAGTGGGCATTTGCCTTCGATTCTGATGTGGACAAGGCCCTCCCTTAGGCCTCAGCACCTGCACCTGCAGCCCGAGGGGAGCCCCAGGCTCCCGGTCCCTCCCAGCTCCACCCTCCGGTCTCAACACCGTGGTGGTGTGAGGGCGGTGGTCAGGCTGGTTGAATCAGGGTGAGACTCTAAAGATTTGGTTTTCTTTTCCTTTTAGCTGCTTCTCTGCTATTCTCTCTGAGCTTTTATTCATTTTTTTTTAAATCATTTTTTATTGTAAATAAATGACGGAGCCTATATTGGTCATTTACTTGAGGAATCTTTATTATAATTATGTGTGGATGTGATTGTATTCATTTTGCTAGAATTAGGATGGACCTAAAAGACTTTAAAGAATCCTCTCCCAAGGATATGTTTTTACATGATTTTAAAGGGAGAGAGAGATGGAGACATCAGTGTGAGAGAGAAACATCATTCGGTTGCCTCACACTTGCACCAACGGCCATCGAACCCACAACATTTGGAGTCAGAACGATGCTCCAGCCACCTGCGCCATGCGGCCGGGGTGGTCAGAAACACTTGTCAGTACGTGTGAGTGCTGCCTCCACAGAGCCTTTCAGCCTCGGGGCGGCACACACACACAGGACACAGCCCCGGGGAGGTGCGGTGCCGGCTGCAGGGAGCGTGCCGAGGGCATGGAGAGGCTGGGGCTGCCGAAGGCTGACGTGATACCTGTCACGGGCCTTTGGAAATCCAACGTGACAGTGAGCTCTAAGGTGTGGGCAGCGCTTCAGCCGCAGCAGTATGGGTTGGAGTTAGTAGGACTTGGAATTTCGTAGTGTTTTTAATTAAATTTTAAAGGGCGAGAGAAGCATCGACTTATTTTTTCCACCTCCTATGTGTTCATTGGTTGCTTGCTTGTATATGCCCTGGCCGGGGAGCACCCCCTCGTCCTCATCAGGCTGGCGCCCTGACGGCCAAGCTCCCGCCCCGGTGAAGTCAGCGGCGTTGTAGCTGCTGAGCGGTTTTCGTATTTCACGCTCTCCGTGTGAGGACAGTGAACAAGCATTTCCACGCCCGTCTCTGCCAGTGCGGTCCCACCAGCACAGGACAGGATGCCGCCGCACCACCGTGGTTACAGGTGTGGGGAGAGCATGATCTCACCCCAGTTCACCCCGCACTGAGGCTCCTGAGGGGCACGCGGCCTTTTCTGTACGCGTTCGGAGTTCGCATACGCAGCGCACGTTCCAGGCTGGTTGGTGACGGGTCTCTCTCCTCTCTCCAGGTGCTAGACTACTGAACAGTGGTCCCGCTCCGCCTCCTCGCCGCCCAGAAACTACTCCTCTGTGCAGTAGTTAATGAAGCCATAGGTTTAGCATCCTGCCAAAAACGGAAGAGAACATGCGCACTAATCAACCCTGATGTCATTGCCAAGCGCCATGAATGCAACTTGCATTTCAGCCAAATCCCAGCATTCCCCACTGAGGACCCTCAGAGCCTCCTCCGGACTGTGCTGCCCGGACTGGGGCCAGGGAAGGGGTGCCTGGAGCTGCCCCTGCATCCCTGGGAGCTCACAGGCGTCTCGGAACCAGCTCAGGGACTGCCTCCCCCCCCCCCCCCCCCCCCCGGGTCATGGGACATGGGACGCCCCACCCCGTCCCTGCTGTTGCCTCCACCAGGGAGATGAGGATAGATTTTCCCAGGCTCTAGAACCGGGGAGAGGAGTCCCTGTCCCTCATTCGCCCTTGGGGCTTGCGGACCTGACCTCCACCAGGTGGCCCACTGGCAGACGTGCCGCCTGACCAGGTGCTCCTCCATTCTCGTCCACCACCGCCCCACCTGTGTCTGCTTTGTGGCACCTCTGGTCCCTGCCCAAGGGGCTTATTGGGCGGCAGCCCCGGGGCACCTTGTCAGTCCTGGAAGACTCGGGTGTCACCGGCACTCGCACGGTGTAGGCGTTGTTCTAGGATCTACATCTTACAAAACCTAACTGGCATTTTGAATGGAGTAGAAATGCTGTACTTACAACAATTCTTATCCTCTGTCAGGGCCCCTCCAATTGCGAGTTAGTGGTCTTCCAAGGACAGATCTTTAAGTTTTTTATTTCTGTAGCACAATGCAAGTAAATTTCACTTTTTTACACTTCAGAGAGGCCCCTTTGGGGAACCCATTTCCAGCCGTCTTGGGCAGGAGGCCGTGGCTGCTCAGGACCTCGGGGTGGGAAGGTCATTTGGGAAAATCTGCAGGAAGACTCCACGCCAGGCCGAGGGGATGGAGGACCGAGCAGCTCTCCTGAGGGGCAGGGCCTTCGGGGCTCAGCCGGGGACCAGCCAAACTGGAGCCCAGAGGAGGGCGGCTCCCCGCGGGGCCTGCTGGGACCAGCCGCCAGAGCCGCACCTTCCCCCTTGGAGACAGACTCCGCCCACTGGGTGAGAGAATGTGGATTACTGGTGGAATGTGTAATCAGCTTTGCTGAATGAGTTTGCTCCTGATGACCATCTGAAGTATGTCTTTATCACAGAATGAGGCGCCAAGAATTAATCACTACCCTCGTTTAGGAAAAGGTTGCTTAACTGTAACAATAGAATAATCAATCATAACTTCAGTATGGTATTTTATTTAGTAAATTGTAATTATAATTTCTAGTTAAACTAAATTATTGGCTTGTCTGCTTCAAAATAAACCATTATATTTGATGAAAGTGGTGATTTCCGTAACATTCTTAGCGTGGGACCTCAGACACGATCTTTGGGAGAGAATTCTTTGATCCAACTATAAATACACTTTTTGTCTTTACCAAAGGTGTGTCTCAACTTCTTTAAGACATGCGTCCTCGTTTTAAATTCTAGCTAAGAAGATTTTCCCAGGCTCTGCTTTCCGCCCTTTGTGAGTTTGGTTTTTGTTCTTTAAAATACCTATGTAGTAAATAGTTTTTTCCACCTACATCCTCTGGGCTGTTGTAATTTGTAATAAGAAATAGTTATGGTCTTTGTCCCTGTTCCTGCCACAGAATTCCTAAGTGATGAATGTGACTAAGGTGTCTTGTTAATGTTAATGATGAGGATTTTAGGACAGGATCTGAGGAGGAGGTCTGGGAGACGGTTGCTAAGGAAACCAGCTGTGTGATTAGAGGGTGGAACTTCCCCCCCTAAACCTCAGACGGGGAGGGTGCTGGAGGGAGAGTTGAGTCGCCGGTGCCAATGGTTCGATCAGAGCCTCTGATGAAGCCTTCATAAAGCCCCAAGGCAGGAGTGGGGAGCAGGCAGGGAGCACAGGGAGACAGTGCAGGGGAGCCCTCCCCCTTCCCTGCTCCGTGACCTCCCATCTGGCTGCCCTTGGGCCTGAAGAGGGGCCACTGGAACCTCCCATCCGTGTCTGGTTGGTCAGCAGCTTAGGTGACACCTGGACGGTGTGCAGAGCCTGAAGTTGCCAGTGAGGCGGGGGGAGACGGGGACAGCATATATGGGACCCAGGCCCTAACCTGTGGGAGCTATTGCTGTGTCTGGTGGGTATGCAGAACTAAGTTGTGGGACATCAGCTGGTGCCAGAAATGCCCAGTGGCCTGGGTAAGGAAACAGAACTGGTGGCACTCTTACCCTCCCATCCCCTTTTGCAGATCTAAAGAATGTTTTGTGAGCATATTCGTAGGACACAAATCCCAAGCTCTCACACACAAAAGGGGCACCACCGGCCTGCCCCGAGGGCTGCTGGGAGACCCCAGTGCATTCAGGTGCCCACGGCGGAAGGGCCTTCAGGTGCCCGGGTGTTTCCAGCGCTCGTTCGACCACGGACCCTTCCCTCCTCGCTGGGAGTCACGGACACGGTGGAGAACCAGTGGCACTGCCTCGCCACGCTGTCCCTGTGCGGGCCGTGGTGCTAGAGGCTCAGCGCAAGAGGCACCTATGGCAGACGAGGGTGCGGCCTGCCTGCCGGCTGGAGGCTGCTGTCCACTTGCTGCGAACAGGAGCTAAGTTCATAGCACGCTGGCCTTCAAGTCAGGGAGCTGGACTCCATCCTGTCTCTGTCGCCCTTGCCCGCTGCGTCCGGTTGGTTGTGGGCGGTGAGAGCCGCTGGTGCTGAGGGACCGGCCATGGAGCCGGGCTGCCCTCTGCGACGGCGGTGCGTGCGGCTGAGGAGCCGGCCCACAGGTGTCCGCCCGGCTCCGCACCGGCCACACTGCGCCTCCTGTCAGCGGGGAGGCTGCTGCAGGCCTCTGGCGGGAATGCCGGTGGAGGGGGGTGTGTGTGCGGGCGCCGGGGGGTGAGGGGGGGACCGCGGGCCGGCAGCGGGGGTCAGGCCCACGGCCTCTTGTCCAGCGCTGGGCGGAGGCCGCGGACAGAGGGGCAGAGGCGCTGGGAAAGGCTTCCTTTTAATGTGGCGGTTGTTCTGACTGGAACGTCCCGTTGGAAGCGTCTGCAGTCCCGGAGCCTCGCCTCCAGTCGGGCGAGGAGGGAGCCGTTGGCTACAGCGGAATCGCATTCGGACCCTGGGCCATGGCGCGCCTCTGGGGAGGGCCGTGTGGCCCCGCAGGCCCCGCAGCCCCGGAGTGCCGTGGGTCGGGCTCCCCCTCAGCGGCGCCCCCTAGCGCCGGGAGGCCAGGACGCTCACCGCCAGCCCCGCGGCCAGCGCGGCGGACGCGGCCCCCAGCGCGGCCCCGCGGCGCACGGCCAGCTGCCGCGCCGACAGCCCGCGGGCGGGAGCGGGGCGGGCCGGGGCCGCCGGCTGGAGGTCCGCCCCGAGGTCCGCCCGGAGGTCCGACCCGAGGTCCGCGGGGCGCCCGGGGCCCGAGAACTTCGTCAGGGAGACGCCGGGGCAGGCGCCCGTGGCCACTGCGGAGGAAGGGGGCGCTCAGCCATCCCGGCCGGGAAGGGGTATAGGGTCCCCCCTGCTGCGGCCCCGCCCCGGCGCTGGCTGCCCCGCATCTACTCCCCCCCCCCCCCCGCGCGCTGGCCGGGCCGCCCCCGGAGCCGCTGGCCGGGCCGCCGGGCGGCAGCGGGGCGGGCAGAGCGGGAGGCGCCGGGCGTGCGCACAGACGGAGCCGCTGTCGGTGTTTCGGGCGGCGGCCCGGTGCCCGCGGGCGGGGCGGGTGCCTGAGCGGGGCCCCGGGTGACGGTGCGGCCGGGGGGGGGGGGTGCGGGAGGAGCAGGCAGACCCCCCCCCCCGGGACAGGACGGCCTGGCCGGGCGCCTCCGGCCGGGCGGCGGGGCGCTAGGGCCTCTATGGCCGCCGGCCTCAGCTCCTGCCTTTGCGGAGGCGGGACCCGGAGAGGCTGAGCTCCCCGCGGAGCTCCCAGCTGAGAGCCCCCGCGGTCCTGCCTCCCGGGAGAGGGTGTGTGTGTGTGTGTGTGTGTGTGTGTGTGTGTGAGAGTGTGTATGTGTATGAGGGTTTGAGGGTGTGTGTGTGAGGAGGTGTGTGTGTAAGGAGGTGTGTGTGTGTGTGTGTGTGTGAGGGTGTGTGTGTGTGTGTGAGGGTGTGTGTGTGTGTGTGTGTGTAAGGAGGTGTGTGTGTGTGAGGGTGTGTGAGAGTGTGTATGTGTATGAGGGTTTGAGGGTGTGTGTGTGAGGAGGTGTGTGTGTGTGTAAGGAGGTGTGTGTGTGTGTGAGGAGGTGTGTGTGTGTGTGAGGGTGTGTGTGTGTGTGTGTGTGTGTGTGTGTGTGTGTGTAAGGAGGTGTGTGTGTGAGAGAGGGTGTCTCGGGGCTCAGGCCTCACGCCGCTGAGGGCACGCCTCGGTGTTACCTGCAGACACGGCCCCTTCCTCGGGCCCGGCTCCCGGGGCCCGGCTCTCGGGGTGCTGGGTGCCCTGCCGCCGCGGCAGCCCCGCGTACTTCTCAGCCTGAGGAGAGAGCCTGCTGTCAGCCCGCCGGCCTCCGGCTCCGCGGCTGGACCCCAAATCGGGAGCTCCCAACCCCCGCCTCCCCCACCCCTCATCCTGGGACTGCGCCCCGCTTCCCCCCTGCTCCAGCGGCCCCAGAGCGCAGCCCTCAGAGCAGCGTAGGGGGGGAGGCTGTGGAGGGGGGGTGTGGGAGAGAGGAGGCCATGGGGGAGAGGAGGCCGTGGGGAGGAGAGGCCGTGGGGGGAGGAGGCTGGGGGGGGGAGGCTGTGGGGAGGGGAGGCCGTGGGGGGGGAGGCCGTGGGGAGGAGAGGCCGTGGGGGGAGGAGGCTGGGGGGGGAGGCTGTGGGGAGGGGAGGCTGTGGGGGGGAGGCCGTGGGGGGGGGAGGCCGTGGGGGGAGGAGGCTGTGGGGTGGAGGGGGCCGTGGGGGTAGGGGACCATGAGGGGGGAGGGGGCCGTGGGGGGGGGGAGGCCGTGGGGGGGCGTGGGGGAGAGGGGGCTGTGAAGGGGAGATGGCCGTGGGGGGGAGGGGAGGCTGTGGGGAGAGGAGGTCATGGGGGGGAGGGGACCATGGGGGGAGGGGCTGTGGGGGGGGCTGTGGGGGGGTCTGTGTCGGGCCCCTCAGGGGGATCTGTGCCTGGGCCTCCCCAGTGGGCAGTCGCTGACCTGGCTGGGCAGGCGGGTGTCCCGGCCGGGCTGAGACTCACCTCCGCCGCCGCCCGCGCCCAGTCCAGCCGCGCAGTGTAGGCGGCCAGGGCCGCCGCCGCCAGCACGCCGCAGGTCAGCATGCCCAGCCAGAGGCCTGGGGGACAGTGCCAGTGGGCGCGTGTCCAGGCCCACCCAGCCCTCCCCCTTCCCCGCCGCGTACCCATGGTTCGCAGTCTGACCACGAAGGCCAGGACGATGCCCAGCGGGAGGCCAACCACGTAGTAGGCGATGGCGTTCACCACGGCCCCGAAGGCCTGCCGGCCGGTGCCTCTCAGGACTCCGCCGTAGACACACTGGGGCGAGCAGAGGGCAGTTAGGGGGGGGGGGGCAGGCAGGCGCTCCCACCTTTGCTCTGTGTGGCGCTGGAGCCCAGACGGTGCCCGGCGTGGCTACAGCTCAGGCCCCCTCGCCTCTGCATCCTCACCACACAGAAAGGCGGTAAAGTCGGAGACACCCGCGCTGGCCTGGGAGACGCCAAGCCTCACTCAGAGATGGGAGGTGTCTTCTGTACTGCTGTAGCAGACCACCCAGACTTAGCTTTAACCACGCACTGCCATTTTATAGTCCTGGAGCCTGGGAGTCCAATGGTCTCACCACACGGACGCCAAGGCTGGTGCCTTCTGGGCCAGGCCAGTGTCCCCCCCACCTTCCCCGGCTCCCAGAGCCGCCTGCGCCCTGGGCCCCGCAGCCCGCACAGGAGCGCTCCCACCTCGCTCCCCTCACACGTCTCCTTCTCCGGCCTGCCGCCTCCCGCCCCTGAGGCCCTGGCGTGACGCTGGGATCTGATGACCCAGGATTGTCCCCCATCCCAAGGCCCTTATGGCATTGGCACCATCCCCAGGTCCCGGGATTGGCAGGTGGTGCTCCTGTGGGCCGCTGCCCTGCCCACCGCCTGCTGTCAGAGACGGCAGCCTCTGCCCGGCCGGAAGCTCACCTCCTGCTTTACTTCCCAGCCTCGTCCCCCGGGACTGGAGCGGACGAGCTGAAGAAGCACAGGCACAGCTCCCGCGTCAGCACCCCGGCTGCTGGTGTTTGGTTGTTTGTGTTTTGTTAGGATGAGGGCTACGGGTGCTTTATGGCTCTGCACATGTGAGCAGAGAGGTCACGCCCTGGGGACAAGTGTTGCCTCTTGAACTTTGAAATCTGCACAAGAAACCAAGATGGCGGCTAGGTAAGCACCTAAACTGCCCCCTCGCACAACGATCTCAAAACAACAACTAGAAGACAGAACGGACATCATCCAAAACCACAGGAAAGCTGGTGGAGTGGGAAATCTACAGCCAGAAAGGAGAGGCTCACCGATCAGGGGAGCCGCAAAGCGCTGAGGGAGGGAGCCGCTCGCGCAGAGGAAGAATGGCCGAGTGCCTGGCTGGTGGCAGGAGAAAGGAAGCCCCCAACTGCACTGAACCCCAGTTCCAACTGTCCTGAACTCCAGCCCCAGCAGAAACCCCGTAGACCCAGGCTCCTATGGGTGGAGTCTGGACTGTAGAGAAAGGCACACGGAGACTCAGAGACTGGGAACCAGGACGGCCGAAGGTCAGTGAGCTTCCACGGTGCAGTTTTTCAGTTTGGTTTGCTGGAATTGCAGGAGGCAGGGAGCCGTTGTTTGGGGTACAAATAGACCTCCTGTGAGTAAACACCTGGGGCTCTCACCGCCCAGCAGCCTCTCCACGCGCCGATGCTAGTCCTCAGCTACTCACACAGACGGCCTCAAACAGCTGGAAGATGATGTAGACGGGCAGGACCTTGTCCACCAGGGCGATGACCTCCCTGCGGGGAAGGAGGGACGAGCCTGAGCCCTCGCTGGGAGCTGAAGCAGGACGGCCGCGTAGAGACCTGGCCACTTTCCCTCCATTGCACCTCCTCCCACCTTGTCTCGCATGCAAACCCAGGTCCCTGGCCCTGCGTCTGCCTGTCCATGGGACAGGCAGGTGGTGGGGCCAGGCCTGGGGAACGAGCCCAGGTGCTGGCGTCTCTGTGGGGGCCCAGCCAGGGTGAGCTCGGCTCCCTGTGGACCCAGGGCCAAGCCAGGCACGTGCCCATCTCCGAAGACAGCGGCAGCCACTGGGCATTCCCCAGAAGTCGGTGAGGAAACCGGTGGCCTACTCGTCACTGGTGAAGACAGAGCCCAGGTGGTTCTTCAGGAGGCTCAGCAGGGCGCCGATAACCAGCGAGGTGCCAACTGAGAGAGACAGGGGAGAGCATTTGGCTAATCAGCCACGGAGTCCAGTGCGGCCGGCACAGGCCAGCCCGCCCGCCACATCGGGGCCTCGCGTCCTGCATTGGAGCCAGCCACGTGGATGGGAACACTGTTTGCCGCCCTGTGGGAAGGACAACATGGAAACGCCTGTCCCATGGCTCTCCAAGTGGGTCCTGGGCAGCAGCATCAGGATCACCCGGTGACGTGCTAGAAATGAGCCAGAAACTGAGAAACTGTGTGTGTGTGGAGGGGGGGGCACGCAGGGACTGTGCCGTGGCTGCCTCTAGGGGACCCAGTGCCGCCTGAAGCCTGAGCACCCGCGCTCCGCAGAGGAGCTGATCTGCACCTGTCGCCAGAAGGCAGAGCCAGGCAAGGACACCAGCTGGTTCCCTCTGAGGGGGCCCAGAGGGCCCCAGCTCCTGGGGCTGCTGGAGGGCAAGCTCAGAGCTCCCCGGCGGCCGGAGGGAAGCGCTTGGGGAGCCACACTAAGGTGCGTGGTGGCAGGCTGCCCCCAGAGGCCGAGAGCCCGGCAGAGGGCGGGAAGGAGCACAGCAGGCTGGAATGGGGGTGAGGTACCGTCCACGGATCAGCCAGGGCCGCTGTGGGCCCGACGCAGGTGTAGCCGGTGGAATAAGCCTGGCTGCTCCACGCCTAGCCCTGCCGCGGGCACCCAGGCCCTCCCTGGCCCAGGCCCTTGATCCCCAGCGTGCCGAGTCCCCTCCCCGGGAGAGGGTGCCCACCTGTGCAGAGCACGCCTGAGGCGGCGGAGCGCTGGGCTTGCACGGTGTCCGCGGCTCCCAGGGACGTCCCCACTCGGACGCAGACAGAGATGCTGAGCCCCATGGGGATCTGGGAATCAAGGAAAGAGGGTGCAGTCAGCGGAGCAAGTCTGGGCCCCTGGGATGGATGGCTGCTGAGCCAGAAAGAGGCCGGACTGGCTGTGAAGCAACCCCCAGTCCCCAGCCCAGGCCAAAGAGGAGCAGGCAGGAAGGTGGATCCCAGGCAGGCGGTGGAGGAAGAGCCTGCTGCACCCTCTGCTTTGGGGTGAGGGGGTGGGGACACCCCGAGTGAGCCAGCAGTCGCCACCCCATCCCCCCCCATCAGACGTCAGAGGCAGACGGGCCTGCAGCCAGACTCACATGCTCCCCAGACTCATGAGAAAGTGAATGTTTAAAAGGCCCTGAGTTGCCAGTAAAAGCCGTCTGTGAAGACAAGTGTCACCTCACAATGAGTTTGTAAGTTGGGTTCATGACCCTCTGCTGAGCCTGGGGCCGAGCCTGCATGCCGGAGGCTGGGGTTCGCACGTGAGGACACGGACCCCATGTCTCCGGAGAAGAGGAACCCCGGGGACCCTGTCCCCCAGTTCTCTCTGAGGGGTGCAAAAATATGGGCCCAAGGCCAAATAGAAGGTCCCATTTTTTTTTTTTTTCAAGAAAATGCAGAAATCCAGGTTATGGGGTAAAACCTCCTAATTTTAAAATGGTGTTCATTAGAAAAGAATTCTAATGCCACTGAGTTCAGTATTGGCCCCGGGGTGACTGCCGGTTGTCTGAGTGAGTCTGGCAGGGCCTGGACCTGAGGGGCATGGGGAGCCCTGAGGTGGGGGGCACCTTGGGACAGAGTGACAGTCCGCTCCCTCCTGTGACACCAGGGGCAACAGGGGTGCTGGTCGGCGGGGGCACTCACCATGTAGGTGACTGTGGCCACCTCGTAGATGACGGCCTGGGCAGAGAGGTCCACCATGCTCAGCAGGCCTGCGGGGAAGGGAGGGGGGTGAGCAAGCCTGCAGGGTGAGGAGGGGTGAGCAGGCCTGTGGGGGGGTGAGCAGGCCTGTGGGGGGGTGGGGAGGGGTGAGCAGGCCTGTGGGGGGGTGGGGAAGGGTGAGCAGGCCTATGGGGGGAAGAGGGGTGAGCAGGCCTGTGGGGGGAAGAGGGGTGAGCAGGCCTGTGGAGGGGTGGGGAGGGGTGAGCAGGCCTGCAGGGTGATGAGGGGTGAGCAGGCCTGTGGGGGGGTGGGGAGGGGTGAGCAGGCCTGTGGGGGGGTGGGGAGGGGTGAGCAGGCCTGTGGGGGGGTGGGGAGGGGTGAGCAGGCCTGTGGTGGGGTGGGGAGGGGTGAGCAGGCCTGTGGGGGGAAGAGGGGTGAGCAGGCCTGTGGGGGGAAGAGGGGTGAGCAGGCCTGTGGGGGGAAGAGGGGTGAGCAGGCCTGTGGGGGGGTGGGGAGGGGTGAGCAGGCCTGTGGTGGGGTGGGGAGGGGTGAGCAGACCTGTGGGGGGAAAAGGGGTGAGCAGGCCTGAGCCAGCCCCGAGACCCTCAGCGGACGGGCACCTCTGCTTTGGGGTAAGAGTTTTGAAGGGCAAATTCACAACCAAACTCGCCCTGCTGGGCCTCCAGCCTCCCGGGAGCTGCCCAGCCTCGGCGTCTTCTGCAGGCCGTTCCCGGGAGGCTTGGCTTTCCAGTTGAACCGAAGCACGTGGCTGGTGTGGAAAGAGCACTGGGCCAGGCCGGGAAACCCAGGGGGCCGCTCTGCGGGATCGGCTCTGGACAGCCGTCTGTCCTGGGCCTGGCCTTCCCGTCTGTCCAGGGGGCAGGGCGGACTGGCAGTCTCCGGGGCCAGGGCAGCAATCTGGTTCTCCGACAGCGTGGACTCCGTGCTGAGTGCTCAAGTGGAGCCCACACCGGCCAGGCCCATGCACACTCGGCACCGTCCGCTCCACCTCCCACTGGCTCGGGGACTTCCCTTGCACTGGGTACCCACTTGGTGCCAGGGCAGTGCTGGCATTCACCGTAGAAGGCCCAGGCCTGCCCCCGGGAGCTCAGACTGAGGGGAGACAATGCCCCCGGCCTGGCCTGGCGACTGGCCAACTACCTGTCAGGAAGGGGCTCCTGAGCTGGGTGAGCCGCCCACAGGGCTCCCCTGCCCCCGCCCCTGCCCCCACCCCGCCCTTCCACATACCCATGAGGAAGCTGCCGATCTCGTAGGCCCACCACTCGATGCAGATCATGAGCATGCTGGGCAGGGCCAGGGAGAAGAAGGGGCCCCAGTCCTGCAGGCACTGCACGGACCAGCCTAGGAGCAGAGGCCTGAGCTGAGCAGCAGCCGCTGTGCCCCCTGCCAGGCCCAAGAGGCATTGTACCCAGGGCATGCCGCTGGCCCAGTGCTGGGGGGGGGGGCGGCTTGGAAAAGGGCGTGGCGACAAGGCATCCGCTGCCTGGCCAGGGCCACGGAGCAGCTGGGGGTCAGGGGCAGTGGGGAGCCCTGGATGCAGGCGGGGGCTGCTCCATCCGGGACACCACAGGATCTAGGGCAAGTGCCTGCCCTTCTGGGCTCTGTCTGCTCATTGGAGAGCCGCGTCCTGTCTTTGCCCTGCTTCCCGGGAGGGTCACGGAGGCGGCACACTGAGGCCAGAGAACAAGCCCATGGCAGGCAGACATGGGGGCAAGTGGGGGGGGGGGGCGCCTGGCCTGGAGGAGGCAGCCTGTGTGGTGCCTGAAATGCCTGGAGGCAGAGCCACAGGCCATCAGCCCTCAGGAGGCAGAAAGGCTCGAATCTGAGCCTGGGAGTGGACAGGCCTGGGTTCGAGTCCAGCCCCACATGTACCATCTTTGGCATTTGGGGAGTCGCTTAGCCACTCAGTTTCCCCGAGGGAAGGGAGTGGGAATAGTGGGTGTGCCGTTAGCTGGACCAGGAGAGCCGGCCGCTGGTGACACCAGGGTTTGCCTGTTGTTACTGTCACTCCTGAGGTCCAGGGGCCAGCAGAGGGCTCCCCGAGCCTGACTCCTACGGGCTCTGCACCAGGGCGCATGGGGTGAGGGGACCCCAGGACTTCGAAGGGGGAGTCCTGAGGGGGGAGAAAGGCCCTGAGGGAACCAGAAGCAGGTCGGGGTTGGGGACCTCCTCACTGGGGCTCCAGCCGGCCTCTGCCCGCCCAGGGGGCGCCCGGGCCGTGGGGCCGCCCACCTGCCCACGTGTCCTGGTACAGCCTCCTCAGTGCGATGTGGAGCAGCAGGAAGACGGTCTGTGTGAACTGGGAGAGGGTGTTGGCGAAGGCAGAGCCCCTGTAGGGAGGTGGGGGCTGGGCTGAGGCCGCAGGCCGCGGCAGGCAGGGTTCCCTCAGGCCCGGGACCCCTCTCGCCCTGTCTCTTTGGAGGGGCGTCCCACCAAATTCCACATGACCTCCCCCTTCTGGGCGGTGAGAGCGGCCTCCACAGCCTTCGTCGTGGGTGAAACAAGGATGACACTGGCCTGCCCCAGGGGAGGGTGGGCACTGGGTGTGCATGTCCCCAACAGGCCCCCGAAGCCCCTCGGCCTCACCTGACCCCCAGGCTCAGCACCGAAACCAGCAAGTAGTTGGCCAGGGCGTTGATGCCGTTGCCCACGAGGCCGCTGAGGACTTGGGGCCAGACGATCCCCTGAAATAAACGAAAACTGGCCTGGGCTTGCTATGGGCTGGGCAGGACCAGGGTGTGGGCACATCGGGGGGTGCAGAGAGGCTGGAGACACGGGCTCCCCTCGGGCCCTGTGCCCGAGGTCAGGGTGCCCAGGCTCAGACTCGGACACGGAGAGAGGGAAAGCCCTGCCCCGGGCCCGGACAGTGCATTAGCCACCCTCCAGGAACTGGTACCTGATTTTGCAAGTATTTTGCCAGCAGGTTGTAAAGAAAAATCACCTGCACAAAATAAAACACACCACAGGTAAACAACTACCAAAGCATGACCAGACGGACATTAACAGGGACTTCTCAGGGATCTGAGTTGGCAGCAATTATTCCACCGAAGTTCCGAGGGACCACAGGCAGGCTTCGCCTGGGCGTGTGCTCCGGCCCCGCCCGGGGAGAGGCAGGGAATGTGGTTCTGAGAGCGCAGGCGGCGGGCTGCTGCCAAGGCCGAGGGCTGCGGGTGCTGGCAGCCACCCCAGGCCTCCCACCCGCTCAGGAAGGCTGCCCCGTGCCTGGTTCAGGACACACCAGATCCTGATCCACAGGTGTGAGCGCCTGGCGCCCGGCTCTGGGCACTGGAGACAGCCATGGGAGGGGGCGGGGGCAGCTGAGCAAGGCGGCTGCACCAGCAGCCTCTCTGAGCAGGTTCAAGGCACCATGAGGAGGGTCTGGAGGGTGTAGGTGTCCGCAGATCCCCTGGAGGGAGCTTTCTTTCCCTGTGGAGCACACGGGTCTGGGGGGTGCGTGTGCGCGTATGTGTGCGTGTGTGTGTGTGTGTGTGTGTGTGTGTGTTGGGACACTCTGTGCTCTCTCTATCCTCTGTCAGCCCGGCCCCGGCCTGTGCCATGTGCCCATACCTCCTTAGCCTCTCCTGTTGAAGGTGGCACAGTGTCAGGAGCACGGAGCCGGAGCGCACTGCCCGTGTTCAAAGACTGGCTCTACCCCACACTTACACCGTGTGATTCTAGACCTCACTCGTCTTCACCTGCCTCCCCATCTCCCCGGGATGTTATTACACCTATTACACACACACACACACACACACACACACACACAAGCAAAGTGATTACACAACCGCACTGGCATCTGTAAGCATTCCAATGCCAGGAGAGCATTATGTAAGTCTTATTGTTGCTCATTAAAGTTTGCATCTGTACCTCGTGGGAGGGACTTGTTTACTTAACACAGGAGTTCCCCCGGGTAGCTTTGTAGGGTGCTTCCCCCTGCACGGGCACATGGCCCTGTTGGACAAATACCCACCCTCCTGGACTGAAGAGCAAAGCCTGGTTCTGGGGAAGACGTGGAGGAGAAACAGCCCTTCCACGTGTTCCCATGACACAAAGCAATCCGGAGCTGGCGGGCTGGCCAGGTCGTGTGCTGGCCTTTCAGTGCGGGTGGCCGGTCTGCCCTGCCAGGCCTGGGCGGCCCCTTCCTTCCCAGCTTTCTCTCAAGAACATCGCCCCTTGGTGCCATAGAGGGTAAAGGGGTTTGAGAGACAGGAAGGCAACTCAAGCTGGCAAGGCCAACCCTGCCTGCCAGGGAGTGACATGTGTCACTGAGCTTCAATCCTCTGAGCATGGCCGTGGATGGCAGAGCAGTCAAGGGAATTGGCCCAGTGGACACACTGCCCATTGAGCTCTCAGTAAGTTCACGAGAGAAAAGAAGGCAATCCTATCTCAGAAAATAGTAATATGCAGATTGACCATCACTCCAACACACAACATGGCTGCCCCCATGTGGTCAAAGATGGCTGCCCCCATGTGGACACAAGATGGCCGTCACAAGATGGCCAGCAGGGGAGGGCAGTTGGGAGGGACCAGGCCTGCAAGGAAGGGCAATTAGGGGTGACCAGGCCTGCAGGGGAGGGCAGTTAGGGGTGACCAGGCCTGGAGGGGAGGGCAGTAAGGGACAAACAGGCTGGCAGGGGAGTGGTTAGGGGGTGATCAGGCTGGCAGGCAGAAGTGGTTAGGGGCAATTAGGAAGGCAGGTAGGCGAGCAGTTGGGAGCCAGCAGTCCTGGATTGTGAAAGGGTTGTCAGACTTTCCTTGAGGGGTCCCAGATTGGAGAGGGTGCAGGCTGTGCTGAGGGACACACAACCCCATGCACAAATTTTGTGCACTGGGCCTCTAGTAAAGATATAATATGCAAATGGTCGTTACACGGTGAAGTGTAATGACTGACTGCTTAACAACTGGATCATGGATCAGCAGGAGGGGGTGGGCAGTGAGCTACAAATGGGTGGCAGAGAGCTACAGGAGTGGGCAGGGCAGCAAGTAAGGAAGGGGGGCAGCAGCAGCTACTGTGAGCTATTGGCGCATGGATTTGTGCACGGGGCTACTAGTTTATAATATTATAATGACTGTAGGGAACAACCCAAATACCTAATGTGTAGGATTGGTTAAAACATTGCGGCACAATGAGGTACTATGTAGCCTTTTAATCATATAAAGGTACTAACGACATATTTGAAAGGGAAGGAGCAGGTTATGATACAATATACCACATTGGCCTCATTTCAAACTGCATATGTGTATGTGTGTTTGAAACCACGCATGTGTGAGTAGAAATAATCCTGGAAAGAGAACCTAGTTCTCTCTGGATGGTAGGGTCACAGGTGATTTGAAATTTTCCTTCCCCCAGGCTTCTACAATAAATGGTTTTTTAATCAGAAAAGGCACGTTCTGTCATTTTTACAAGTTCAATCTGCACGGACCAGAAAGGGAACTTCTCTGGGATGCAGTGGGAGTCGCTGCCGGGGGTGCCTCCCAGCAGATGGGAGGGAAAGGGGGGAAAGCCCGCATTCGGGAGGGGAAGCCACCGCCCGGGCCCGCCTTACCGGGAGCGCGGGCATGAAGATCAGCACGTACTCGTGGGTCAGCCTGCAAGAGAACCGAGCGCCAGCCTGGCAGCGGCCTCCCAGCGGGGCACCCTGGGGACCCCGGTTTGCGGAGCGGCTCTCCTGGGCCCTGCAGACAGCCGCCAGGACCAGTGGGGGTGCCGCCACGTGCCCCAGGAGGCCCGAGGACTGGCCACAGGGCCTCCGGACAGGCATGGCCTTCGGAGTGCGCGCGGCTTTAGGGGGTAAAACGCCCTCCTGCCAAGAGCTAGCCAATGAGCGCGCATCATGTACAGTGAACAAGGCGGTCCTATGGGGGCGTTTCCAAAATTAATAATAACCGGCTATCTATCAGAAATCGGTTCAGTCCTATTTCTCCTTTTTGGGACAGGGGGTAGTGCACACTGCATTTCTTTCTTTCCTTCTTTCTTCTTCTTCTTCTTTTTTTTAATCCTCACTGAGGACATTTCTCCACTGATTTTTAGAGAGGGGAAAAAAAATCTATGTGAGAGGAGCACTTTGATTGGCTGCCTCCACACGGGCCCTTGAGCAGAATAGAACCCAGGTCCACAGGCCAGCGCTCTATCTACTGAGCCAAACCGGCTAGGGCCACACTTGTTTCCTCAAAAAGCATCTGTCATGTTCCAACTGGTGCTGGGACACAAATGCAAATAACACGCAGATCCCTCATTGGCCTCTTTCCTCCTGAATTAAAACTGGCCGCTTGTCTGCCCCCTGCTGGCCGCAGGTAGAGCAGCATGCTGTGCGGAAGAATCCCCAAACCTAGCCTGGACCCTCCCCCAAGGCGCACTGTGATTGTTTCTTTCTGACCTGGGAAGCGCGGCACCTGGGAGAAGGGGGGCGGGGGCTCCTTTGGGGTCCCCTGCATGGCCGGGCCCTGCCCCGGGGCCCTCATCTGGACACGGGGGCCCTGTCCGGGGGCCTCACTAGACACGGCGCCCTCCCTAGAGGCCTCACTGGACACGGGGGCCCTTCCCGGGGGGGGGGCGGAGGGGGGCGGGCCTCACCTGGACACAGGGTCCTGCCCGGGAGCCTCACCTGGACACGGGGGCCCTGCCCGGGGGCCTCACCTGGACACGGGGGCCCTGCCCGGGGGCCTCATCTGGACACGGGGATCCTGCCCGAGGCCTCACCTGGACACGGGCCCTGCCCGGGGCTCACCTGGACACGGCGGGGTCCTGCCGGAGCAGCAGCAGGATGTGCTGGGTGTTGAGGAAGAGCGCCCAGCAGGGGAAGCAGCAGAGCAGCAGGATGAGCGCGCCCCGCTGCAGGATGACCCCCACGTGCTTCTTGTTGGGGCTGCCGAAGCTCTGCAACACAGCCGCCCTCAGCGCTGGCCCAGGCCCCAGGGGATCCCCGCAGCCCTCCTGCTCGGCCATCACAGGCAGCAGCGTCATCCAGGGGCTCCCAGCGTCTTCAGAGCTGTTCGCCCAGCACCGCCCAGTCCCCCGCCTTCCCCCCGCGCCCCAGTCCTTCCCCGGCCCGGAGAAAGGCCGAGGCTGGAGGCTGCACAGCATTCGCCAAGTCACCTCCAATGGCAGCCAGGGCCCAACCCAGGTCCCTAGGCCCACTGGAAGCCCAGAACTCGGGCTCCCCGGGCAGGGGTCCTATCTGTGCGCCCTCAAAATGTGACACGGCGGCAGGGAACCTCTCCACCCCTGCCTCCTTTGGGGGCCCCCACCCGCTTTGGGCAGCATGGAGGGACCGCGCTGCCCGCCTACCTGGGACATCAAGGTGTCACACGCGGAGGACACGCCGAGGCCCACGGACACGCCGCACACATTGACGAACTGATGCCGAGAGGAGGAAGCAGGCCGTCAGGCGCTGCCCACGGAGGGCACTGCCCACGGAGGACGCCCGCAGACTGTGTGCCATCTGCGAGGGGCCGGGCCCAGCTGGGTGCCGCTGTCAGCCCTGTGCTGGGTCTTCTCCAGGAAGCCCTGGGGGTGGGGGGCGCCCCTCCAGCCCTGCTGCACTTACGGCCACGGAGAGGGTCACGGACGCCAGCTCCACTTTGCCCAGGTGCCCGCAGAACACCGAGCTCACCACGTAGATCATGAAGGACAGCATCTGGAACAGGAGCTGGACAGGCAGCCTGGGTCAGGGCGCCCGGCACAGCCCGCACTCGCCGGGGCCCAGAGGGCCCTGAGCCCCGGCACAGCAGCCAGGCCGGGAGAGGAGGCAGCGTGCTCCTATGGCTGTGTGGACCAGCTCGGTCTTATTGCCTAAACGGGCAGGAGCCCGGGACTAACACAAGCCTTCACCGCTGCTACCCATGTCATGGAACCACTGGCCAGGCCACATATAATCAAAAGGAGGAGGAATGAAGCCCAGCAAAATCTTAGCAATGGCCCTGGCCAGTGTGCTCAGTGGTGAGAGAGTCTGCTTGCTCACCAAAGGGTTGTGGGTTCGATTCCAGTCAAGGGCATGTACCTGGTTTGTAAGTTTGATCCCCAGCCTAGTCATGGTGTGTGTGGGAGGTAAGCAATTAATGTGTCTCTGTCACATCCATCTTTCTCTCCCCTTACCCCCTCCTTCCCACTCTCTCTCTGAAAATCCATGGGAAAAATACCCTTGGGTGAGGATAAAAATAAAAATAAAAATGTCCAGGTGGTGGGACTGGAGATGAATTTCTTTCTTCTTTATAACTTTTTGTTTTGTCTGAAACTTTTACAAGGAACACATACCAATTAGCTTTTGTAATCAGAAAAAAAAAAATGTATCTGAAGACATTTTCCCTTGTCAGTAAAAAGGGCAGTGCCTGGCTGTGGCTCTGTGGCTGAGTGTTGACCCATGAACCAAGAGGTTCCAGTTCAATTCCTGGTCAGGGCGCAGGCCTGGGCGGTGGGCTCCATCCCTGGTAGCGGGCGTGCAGGAGGCAGCCAATCAGTGATTCTCCTATTTCTCTCTCTCTCTCTCTCTCTCTCTCTCTCTCTCTCTCTCTCTCTACCTCCCCCTTTCTCTCTGAAATCAATAAAGTATATAAACACATACATGCATGCACACATACATGCACACATACATACATAAAAAGGGCAGCGGGCTCCCTCTTCCCCCCGCACATGAGGGGAGGCCTGTGGCTCCTGCATCAGAGGCTCTCACTGTCCCTAGGAGACCTCCCCGCCCACCAGCCTGTGGTTTCTGAAGGACAGGCCCCTCCTCTACCCCCGGCACCATCGGGGACAGCCGTCTCCTGCTCTGGGCGGCAGCCCGGGCGCAGTCTGAACGTGGCCAGCGGGGGGGTTTGGGGGGAAGGGCTGTAGCAGCCCCTGGCACCCCCAGGTCATGCCGGAGCAGCTGGCCCCAGCCCCCCAGCCCGCACTGCCACCTCCTTACCAGGGGTCCGGACAGGACCAAGAGCCGCCACGCCTCGGCCCTGAAGCCGACGGGGACCAGCTGGCAGGGGGCAGGGCAGCAGCCCCCGCGCTGCTGGGGCCCTGCGTCCCGGAGGCTGTCCATTCCGGGCCCTGGCTGCCGGCCGGGCTCCCCGCACGCCCGAGCACACGCCTAAGCACCCCCTGCCCGGCCTGGACCCGCGGCCAGGTCACCTGGCAGCTGGCTAATGAGTAAGGAGAGGGAGGAGGGCTGCCTTGAAGACCAGCTTGGGACAAGCCTCGCCTCCTCGGTAGCCCTCGGGCCCTGGCCCTGGCCCCACAAGGGACAGCCCAGCGCCCTGGCCGCCCGGAGTCACCAGGGCTGGCGCTGTGGGTGCCTGTGTCTGCTCTCCCCCAGGGCAGCGGCGAGACCTCGGAGGGGGAGCTGGGGCAGGGCAGGGCGTGCTGGGCCTGGGGAGGGGGACTTGGGAGCCTTACAGGCTGGGGTGACCGTGCCCAGACGGCTCCCCTTTCATAGAAGAAGAAATGGAGACAGAGAGCCGCTGCTCAAGAACCCTGCCCTGAGGAGGGAGGGTCAGGCGGGAGCCTGGAGTGGGGGCTGGGGCTGGGGCCCTGGGCAGAGACCCCTCCCCTTTGGGCAGCAGCACTGAGCAGCCAGCCCCCTGCTCTCGCATCTGTTCTGCTCAGTGAAGCTGTCCCTGGGCTGCCTGCAAGGTTCCTTCCGCCCCTGGTCTCCATCTCTTCCTGTCCACCAGGGTGGGTGCGCCCCCAGGACAAGCAGCAGCCCAAACCAGGGAGCGCCTAACCCCCCTCGCTGGGCTCGGGCCTGGATGGCTTTGCAGTGTGGGCTGCCCCAGGAGAGGAGGAGTGAGTGAGTGAGTGAGGGGCCCGGGACGTGCAGGCAGGACAGCTGACCAGACCGCCCAGCCGGGAGCTGCACGGAGGAGGAACCGGACAGGAGATGCTCGCCACGCCCTCCTGTGGCTCTGCCGGCATGCCGCCCACACCACCGGGCCTCCTCGGCAAAACGTTCCCAGTTTGGGCACCGGGCACCTGGTGATGTGTTCTTCCTCCTCTGCCGAGCTCCTGGTGGAATATTCCACAGCCTGGGCACTAAGCGGTGCCTTTACCACCAACCGCGGGGGACGAGAGGACGGCACTGCCCCCGGCATTGCTGGCATACGGCTCAGAAGGCGGGCAGAGAACCGAGGCACTAGGCCCCGCGTCCCTCCAGGGCCTGGCAGGCGCGCAGCTGTTTGGCTTCCTCTGCTGAAGGTGACTGGGCCTCGGGGTCCCTGTCAGCGGGAGCACGGATGGGACTGCTGAGTGGGGATGTGCGTCTCCCCAGGCCCCACTGTGCAGCCTAGGCCTCCGAGGCCTGGCGGGAGAGCAGCCAGTGCAGGGCCTGTGGAAGCCGCAGCCTAAAAGCGGCCTCTGCCCGGACTGTGGGGCAGCCTCCACAGCTCCCTCCGGGGCCCTCACAGGCGCTCTCCATCCTCCGTCTCCGCGCCGAGGCCCTGAGCTAAGGCAGAGGTGTCCCGCCGCCGCCTGGCAGGGGCCGGGACTCACCATGAGGAGGGCCCCAAAGCTACCAAGTCCCGGTGAGGGACCGGGAGGACAAGGGGAGCAGGGTCATTGCGAGCCCCTGCACACCTCGGGGGCTCAGACTTCCAACCCCAAAGAGGAGCATGCTGGGCAGCGGGTGCCCTGGCCTGGCACTCCACATGCCACGGCCAGCCGCAGCCTGGGACGGCCGGCCCGGCAGCTGACGCCCGTGCTGCCTGGCACGGGGAGCCCCCTCTGTTTACTCGGTTACTTGTTAACTGTCAGCTCCTTGTACTTGGTTACACTTCACCAACCGGAGCAGTGAGGTGTGTCCCCTCGGCCTCCCTGAGGGGGCTCCCCCTCCCACCTTCCGGAGCCTCTTCCCCCCCAAAGCCTGCTGATTTCTAGGTTTTAACGCCAGAAAACGCCGTGAGGTTAGAAAACAGTGACTCGAGCCTCCGAACCCAAAGGGCACCCCCTGGTCCAGCCCGTCCTCCGGGGCGGCCTGTGCCCAGAAGGCACCTCATTAACCCGCTGGTTTCCATGCGCACGGCCAGGGCCGGACGTGGCAGCGCCCAGCGATCCTCCTGGTGACCCTGCGGCTCCCACGCGGAGTCCTCTTCACCTTCTCTGTACCCTCCCAGAGCCATCTCCCCAGCTGCCCGTCCTCTGGCTGGAATTCTTATTGGCTGGCCACTGCCGCCACCTTGCCGCAAATACTCTCTACTCTGTAGAAGACAATCCTTACTCCTGTTTTTAAAAAACAAACAACAAACGTTTCTTTATTGATCAGAGAGAAACATCGACATGTGGTTCCACTTATTTGCGCACTCACTGCTGCTTCTTGTTTGTGACTTCCCGGAGCCAAACCCACAACCTTGGTGCATCCTGACCGCTCTCACCAACGAGCTCCCGGCCAGGCTCCGCCCCAGGGAAAGCCAGGCCAGCTCTGCTCCCGCCCTCAGGCCGCCCCCCTGCCCGGCTCTGTGCAGCCTCCTCCCGGCCTCCGGCTCTGGCCTCCCTGCTCCCAGCCGGGCTGCTGCACCATGTCCTGGGGAAAAAGGCCGCCAGCACTGTGGGCAGCTGCCCGGGGAACCGAGCAGCCCTGCGGGCTGCAGGTCACGCTCAGCTCACGCAGAGGTTCACGTCTGGGTTCACCTGGCCTTTCTGTTCTGTGTCCTTGACACTGCATCTTGGGGGCCTTGCTGGCACTGAAGGGACTGCCTGCCGGGAGCTGGCCACTCCCAGGGTTACAATCAGCTCTGCACCTGTCACGTCAAACCAACCCCGGCATGCGCAGCCCGGCTCCCTATGCGTTCCCACCTTCTGCCCCAACCACCCAGAGCCCGCTGCTGGACACCCAGGCCTGCGGGAGTCATTCCAATGTGTCCATCGTAAACCCTTCCTTCCCAGGAAGGGACATGAAACGCTCTTGCCTACGCTCCCCTCCTGACTGACCCTGGGGCTCCCCACTGTGGTCCCAGTGACATGGAGTGCCCTCCCCTTGGGAACTTTGTGTAAGAAATGACCTTTTCAATGGCAGTCTCTTGCCCTTGTCATACCTGGATAATAACAAATCCTATCTAATAAGAGAAATATGCAAATTGACCATCACTCCAACACACAAGATGGCTGCCCCCATGTGATCAAAGATGGCTGCCCCCATGTGGACACAAGATGGCCACCACAAGATGGTCAGCAAGGGAGGGCAGTTGGGAGAGACTAGGCCTGCAAGGGAGAGAAGTTGTGGGTGATCAACTCTGCAGGGGAGGGCAGTTAGGGGTGACCAGGCTTGCAGGGGAGGGCACTTAGGGGCAACCAGGCTGGCAGGGGAGTGGTTAGGGGGTGATCAGGCTGGCAGGCATAAACAGTTAGGGGCAATCAGGAAGGCAGGCAGGTAGGCAAGCAGTTGGGAGCCAGCAGTCCTGGATTGTGAGAGGGATGTCCAACTGCCGGTTTAGGCCCGATCCCACCATGATCGGGTCTAAACAGACAGCTGGACATCCCTCAAGGGGTCCCAGATTGGAGAGGGTGCAGGCTGAGCTGAGGGACAACCCACCAGGCCCCATGCACAAATTTTGTGCACCGGACCTCTAGTCTATCAACAAGTAAATCTAAAAATCAAGTGAATAAAAAATCTGATGAACAGAATAAACTGGCAAATATAATAGAATCAAGGGCAAAAAAAGGGAGTGGAGTGATCATCCTTGGGGGAAAGGGGTGGGAACCTGGTGGAGGGGAGCTATGGGGGAAAAAGAGGAACAACTGTAATAATCTGAATAAAGATTTATTTAAAAGTAAATCACGCAGCACCTGACCATTCAGTCAGGGCACTGACCGCTCTTCCCTTAGATTATCAAATAAAAACATGACAGCGGCCAGCACAGCATAGCCGTCTGGTGTAATAAATCTAAATTGTACCTATTTTTATTTCATTTTACTTTTTGTCCAGGTTGGCAAAAAATATAATCTATTTTTTGTGTGCCACGGAATCTTAGTAATTAGCTTATGTGTGCCATGAAATGAAATCGCTGACAGAGACTAGAGGAGCCCGATGGATGAATAGGCTAGACTCTCCCTTTATGTCAATGAACATTGAAAAAGTCCTTGGGTTCTTAAGTCAATCAGCTACATAATGAACCTTGTTCATAACAAATCTTATTGAAGAAGCCGGACCGGTTTGGCTCAGTGGATAGAGCATCGGCCTGCGGACTGAAAGGTCCCGGGTTCGATTCTGGACAAGGGCATGTACCTTGGTTGCGGGCACATCCCCAGTAGGGGGTGTACAAGAGATCGATGATTCTCTCTCATCGATGTTTCTAACTCTCTATCTCTCTCTTCCTCTCTGTGAAAAATCAATAAAATATATATTTTTTTAAAATCTTATTGAAGAAGGAGAACGAGAAGGAGGGATAGGAAAAGACTAAAACAAACACCTTGGGCTTGGCTTGTGGCATGTTGATTCCTGCAGATTTCGCAGAGAATGTGTTTTGTTGAGGGTGGAAGTGTATGTGTTAATGAATAGCATATGCAGGTAGAGATGTCTCTACATTATGTGCTAATTAGACCAACAGCATCAGCATTTTTTAAACTGGTCTTATACCAACCTTTTCAGGTAGACAGATAGGCTAACCTTCATTTTTTAAAAATTTATCTTTATTGTTGAACATATAAATAAAGATAAATTTTTATACCTGCCTGCCTTCCTGATTGTTGGGAGCCATCAGAGTTGAGACAAGCAACTCCGTCTTAAGAAAATACAACTCCATCTTAGAACTAAGTTCCTTCTAGCAGAAGTTATGAGGTGCCCTGCGGGTTTGGCCAGAAGCTAAAGATAACCTATTGCTTAAGGACACATCCTGCTCCGGAAGATCCCTACAACGCCCCCTCCCTGGTCCTCCCTCCCATAGTTTGCCCCGCCTTGGAATGTCCCCGCGGCAACCTCCCCCTACAGCCTGTGTGTGTGTGTGTGTGTGTGTGTGTGTGTATATATATATATATATATATATATATATATATATATATATATTGCAGCTTCAACCATAAAATTCAAGGCTTGATCAGAACTTTGTCTTGCCT